GCGGATACGAGGAGGGGAGAGGGGGGCGAACAATGCAGAAAACATTAGGATAACACTGTTGTTCTTGACCTTAAGGGACATCCATGGCGTTTACCGCAATGTCACCGGGAGTCTTCGCACTCCACACACTGACTGAGAGCCAACGCGCGCGCGTGCCGGTTCCCACCACTCCGGTTTTCCCCCCTCATGACATTGTCTCACCTTTGAGAATGCATTTTTCTTTCATAACTGAGAGTGTGTGGTACACGCGGTGTCCCAGGTGGGTGCTCGTTGTTAAGTTGAACAGGATGGGAATCTCGGAGGGGGGGCAGGGGGTGTGGGGGGGGGGTGGTTCTGCTCTGGTTTGGGATATTGGAGACGCGTGCCGGTCATCACCTTTTAAACAGAGCGCCTTTCACATTACGCGCAACAAGCGTGCGCGCGTGTTCACACACAAAACACACACAGGCGCGAGTACTCACACACACAGAAACAAAAAAAGCCCCAAACACGCATGCTGAAGTCACAAAGACAACACCGATGCGAGGACTTACGGGATGACCCTGGGCTCTGCGGGTTCCCCTGCGCGCCCCATCGACGTGCTCCCGTTATTCCCGTTTTTTTTTTTTTTTTTTTAAACGGAATCCTCAGATGCCGTGGTCGCAGTCCACGTCTCTGCAAATGTACCACAGGATCACATAAAGAATGAGGAGTATTGCGAATATGAAGAGAGCAACTAGGATGGCCTTGGTCACTGGAGAGATGAGCGACTGCATGTCCGGGCCAGAGCCGGGCGGAGCGGCGTGGGGCTCCGCGTCCGTCCTCAGTCCTCAGTCCTCAGTCCTCAGTCCTCAGTCCTCAGTCCTCAGTCCTCAGTCCTCAGTCCTCAGTCCTCAGTCCTCAGTCCTCAGTCCTCAGTCCGCGGTCTCCCTCGCTCGCCTCCTCTGCTCTCCGCCGCTCCGGTGGCAACTGTTGAGGACGGAGCCTGGGGATTTGCCGCGCGCGAGCGCACACATCTAGGGCAGCGCGCGCACGGACACGTCGGTAGTACCCCGGCAATCCGGGCGCGCAACGCGCGGGGGCTTCCCTGACTGGTGGCGCTCCACGGATCCACTCTCCCCAGCAGCCTGTCGCACACCAGAGGCTTCGCAGACAGGGTAGAATCAAGTGATAACACTCAGAGAAAGGCTGCCCCCCAAAAAACACACACACAATGCAGTTCAAAAGCGTGGCAGACACGTACGGCTGAATGGGGAAAAGTCCTAAGTTGTCTGCTGCACTTGACAGCAAACAGGTTGATTAGTATTCCTTGCGGTGTGTGTGTGTACGCATGTGGTATCTGCCCTGACAGGCTATCATCTTATCGCGACCCTCCCACATCCCTTTTTAGCCAAACTGTCAGAGGAGGGATTAGAATATGGATTTTTTTTTTAGATGGTAATCAAATAAAACCCGTTTCCGCATGAGCACTTTAGTAGGCTGGTATAATCGCAATAGGTAACGTCTTATATAAACTGGCTGGATTGAACTAATAATAGGTGATCCCAATATCTAGATGGAAAAAAAACTCAAGTCTTTTAACTGCAACTTTAAGTCCTACAAGAGATGTTGATAGACAAAAATGAAAAGTAGTCATCGAAGCCTATAATGAACAAACATGTCTAATCCATGATGGTTTTTAAGGATAACACTGTCATCTTTCAAAATAATGAAATCAGACATCATTGTTTATATGCAGCATTTGTAACTGTACCTCGGTTTTTCACATTCTGTTTATAGGATATGATAGGCACAAAGCCTACTTTTACGCACCATTTTACTCATCAGATATATAGTCTGAAACATATTCATTTACTGCTAATAGTTAAACACAATATCCTGTCTACATGCTGACCGTTATTTCATTCTTTTGGGTGACTTTGCTGACCACTTTTCGTGCTGGATCACCGTGGCATTTGATTTGGGTCGCGAACTTCAGTCACGTCCTTATCAGCACTAAGCGACCCGGTCACGTCTATTACCCACGTCCACCACTAGAGGGCGACAAACGTGCCTGCACAAAACGTGATAGTATATTTGGTTATTCCGCACACCACCGTAGCACTTGCATAACAATCATGAAAGCTAAACGAGTTTAAAGACGCGCAGGTAAGAAGAAACGGTCGACATTTAGATGATGACACGTCTAACGTGTGTCACCGAATCGTATTGTTGTTGTTTATCGTGGTAATCAGTTAGCCAGTTAGCTACTAAGAGGCAATCTCGCTGTGGCCTATCGAGAGTGGCTGAGGAAGCTTGGTATGCTAGCGCCGTGCGAACTAGCCCTGCTGATAAGTTTGGCGAAATGAGGCGAAAGTTGTTCTTGTCGTTTTGTGCATCGCTTGTCAAGAACTATGGTTTATTTTTTTAAAACATATGTGTCCCGTGCGATACAGTGTCACACATAAGATAAAGTGTTTGAACTTAAAATTACAAACGAGGTGGACCATTATTTGTAAACAGCTCGCTAGCTACTTGCTAACTAGCCTTGATCAGGCCATAACGATTGATCAAGAAGTTGAAATGACCGTCAGACATCCGGTATGATTCTTCAAAATAAGGACTATGCAATTGTGTATGGACCTATAGTGTGATCTGTTACAGTTTAATGCAAAGTATATACCTTTTTCTTAAACTATTACCCGCTATCCAGATGGGACTAAGCAGTATAGAAAATAAATGTATGTCAAAATATTAGTTTATTTGAATTAGATATAAGATATTTTTCTTCAATTACATTCATCTGTTGTTCCTGTCTCAGTTATTTGGTCATTTATTTAGGAAATCAGGGGGTGAAATGTTTGTAAATAAGGTTGGCTCAATAGTATCTTAAGTGTTGTAAAGAAAAACAACAAACAAACACTGTAAACAAATAACTTAATTGTTTACTCAAGAAGTAAACCACATTAAATATTTTTGTCAAATAGACAAACAATGCCAAGTAATGGCACACATTTGGAAAGAACTCAATATTACAAATAATTATATTTTGACTGACGCCATTCTTGTCAAAACCCCACCATTTCCAGGCTAGTGATCTGGATCGCCATCTTGCATCACAATCATCCACTGAGACCAATTATTGCTGCATATTTCCTCCATGTGGGAAGGTGTTGTGTTTTTGGCTGCTGTGAGTTACACAACTGAATCCTGTCAGTTGATTGGCTTCTGAGTCATGCAATCCTCGAATAAGGACTTTCATTCTCTCCTTTACCGTCCGTTTGTCTTTTCAGGACGGCATGAATACTCGGTAATGTAACATTGCACATTGTTAAAGCAACTTTTAAGATATTATAATTGGGATATATTGTCCACTTTTCGTTAAAATTAGTTTTACGCAGTTATCATTGGTTTAATGTGTATTCATTTTTTGTTCGTGTTTAGCTTGGAAGCAGAGATATTATAACTTTGATTAGAGTGTTTTTTTTCATATATTTCTAGCAGTTTGAGTTAGTGGTCAGAAATTCCAATATCTGCTCGATAAAGGAGCTTTTATTCTGTAGATACAGCAGCTGCTTACTTCCGGCTGGGTCCGTCGTAGGGATTCGAGCTGATTTTGTCAATTTGACAAGCGCGGTTAGCTAGCTGACTAGCAAGGGGTTTCAAGCCTCTTGACACCAGTGGCACTGTGAGTGTGTTTGCATATGACTTTTGGACTGTTATAATTGTTACATGCGTTTCGTCCTTGTCGCTCTTTCTTGCGTCTGTGTGCTTTTCTTTTAGCTTCAAACATCTCGCGAAACAGTGCACAAGTGCTAGCTTTAGCTAGGTGTAAGTAGTGAGATCAAGAGATTGCTAAAGTTAGATAATTAGCTAATAATGTTTTGAAGTGTAACTTAAAATAAGAACAACACTAGTGTGACAGTGCACTAAAAACTAACTGTAATCCCAGTATTTTTTTTAAAAACGTGAAGTAATATCGAATCGTCTTTGACGAGAATAAACAGAATTTCCACAAACACTTCAAACATTAGGAATACTAAGTCTCTAAATCTACATTATTCCAGTAATATCTGGTCCGTTTGACTTCACTTTCTGTGCCTCCCTGTAGCAGTTCATGTGTGCACTTCAAATGGTGAGATAAGAGAACCGAAACAACAGCTGACCCAGTTACAGAAGTTGACACTTCACTGAGAGGAGATCTTGAACTGAGGAGCTGATACACTAGCTTATAAGATATATATTGTTAGCGAGCAAGTAATGCTTAAAGCTCCCTAATATCATCGCACACAATAACTAAACAAAGTGCAGTAAGATTTGGTTTTATTTTATTATATGAACATATTTGGCCCTGAGGGGTATTTATTGTTATTGCTGGTGTTGTTCTTTCTAGGATTTACCAATAAAATCAATTTCTGAACTTTAGTTGTGTTTAGAGTCAAAATGCATTACCACTGCATTTGGATAAATGACTGTTATAACTGGATAGATGTATTTTCTGTCTGTTTTTCATCTCAAGGTTCCTCGTTAAGTAGTATTTGGCGGCTTTATCCTCAATGTATTATGATTATGATACGCTGATTGAACTGATATCTGCTATTTGAGAACAAATTTGGCATTGGCTGCTGATGATTTTAAAGGCTTGAAACTGTGCTCTTAAATCTATTCCAGGGGGCAGACAGTATGGCCTAAAAAGCACTTTATTATTTTTAGTTAAACTGCTATGTGTCGTATTCAATTTGACACCATTAGTCTGTTTTCATCTGCTACTTCCAATGCTATTTTTGGTTTAGCTTTTCCTCCCAGAATATCAGAAGCAATTTTATTGTTGTCATTGAACCAGCGTCCCGGTACAACAAAATTTTCATATCAGTACAACCATTCCAAGATCAAACAAAAACAACAAAACAACGCAAACCCACATAATCTAAAAATAACTATCAGAAATCTTCTGGTGTTTGATTGATTTGAACCAGTTCGCATTGACCCGTTGTCTGCTTTTCCCTTTTGTTTTTACAGACTCAGTAACTACTCGATGTAAGATGAACACTGAGGACAAGTTGGAGGGCATGCTGCTCAAATGCAGCAGTGGGGGAATAGACGGGGGCGGGAGGGTGAGCCTGGGCGGCGGCGGCGGGCTGGTGGTAATGACCCTCGGAGAGCGGTCTCTAGCAAACCATCCCCTGCTGGCCGAGGACGACGATGAAGATGAAGACGACGAAGACTTGACGGGAGGCTCGCTGGTCACTCACGACCTGGTCCCTCCGGAGCAGCTGATGATGCAGGAGGAACTGACAAAGAACGGTGGAGCAGGAGGAGAGGAGGAGGGAGGAGGCGAGGTGGGAGTGCATTTCCCCCTAAAGCTCACCAATAAGTTGCCCTGCTTGCTTCACATGCCAGTGAGTTCATGTGCCTTCCTGCTCGTGTTGTGATGAGTTGATTTGTGTCGATGCTGTACCTGAAACGTCCAACTTTGTGTGCAAGCATAGCAGAAAATCACACTATACGTAAAGCTACTGGTCGATTTAACACAATAATTCATATTGCCTTTCCCGACCCAAGCCTCAACAGCTGATGAAGCCTTTTACAAAATTATGAGACATTAGCACTTAGTCGCACATCTTGAATGCTCCTAGGAAAAGTGTACTGATTCATTTGAAGTTTGAAATAATACTGCGGGTGCCCAGAAGCTGATAGAGGTCCTGCAGATTCGGTTGATATATTTAGTCAGGTGGAATCTTTTCCAGGCTAGCAGCAGATTAAATCTCCCAGCATGGCTAAGGTCCTCTAGGACCTGTCGCTCCCCTCCAGTCTGTTACGCCCGGGGCCGCTCCACAGTCAGGTGCTCTCACGCCGTTTGATTATCCCCTCCTCGCCCGCTAGCACCTGCCATCCCAGCATAAACCGCTCGCCGGCCGGGTGGCTGATAAACTAGGTCACGTTCCATATTGGATGTCTTGACTATGTATGGCCCTACTTTTGCAGCTGAGCATCAAGCAGGAGCTGAAGCTGTCTGACCCCGCGGTCCATTTAAAGAAGGACAAGAAACCAATTAAGGAGATGATGGTGTGTCCCAAGAAGAAAAAAAGGAAGCAGCGCTCCCCAGCCAAGGTGCGAGTCCGTTTTTATCCCGGTGTTAATCTTTTCCGCTTTTTCCTGTGATGCCTAAGTGAACATACATGCAAACGTCTGTCCCTCAATGTCTCTGTAGATTCTCAGCATGAATGATGATGGATCTTTGGGCGCCCCAAACCCCAAATGTCACGTTTGCGTTCACTGTAACGCTGCCTTCAGAACCAACTATCACCTGCAGAGGCACGTCTTCATTCACACCGGTATGAACTACCCTGTCGTGTTTTTAAATACTTACTTCTATTTAGGCAAAAAAGCTGACGGGTTTGGTCATTTGTGCTCGTATTTTTCAGGTGAGAAGCCGTTTCAGTGCAGCCAGTGCGACATGCGCTTCATTCAGAAATATCTCCTGCAGAGGCACGAGAAGATCCACACTGGTGGGTAAAGAATGGATGCAGTCAGGTTTCACCCGCTCCAACGACTCGTGGTGACTTATCTCTGTTTTGCACAGGTGAGAAGCCTTTTCGCTGTGACGAGTGCGGGATGAGGTTTATCCAGAAGTATCACATGGAGAGGCACAAGAGGACCCACAGTGGAGAGAAGCCCTACCAGTGTGACTACTGCCACCAGGTACTGCCGCTGATTGCAATGGCATTGTATGTGAAAACAGTCTCCTCATTAAAGACATAGTTCTAGTAAGCCTACCGAAACATGGGTTGTTCCATTTTAAGACTTTAGTAAACTTTGTATGCACCCTATAGGAGCAAATCCCGTGTGTTTGGTGTAGAGTCAGGCAGATTTCTGGGTAACTCAGAGATGTTACAGTGATGTCATCCTGCATAATCACATTTCAGTGATAATCTTCAACTAAGTTTTTACCCCTATGCTTCTCCTCTGATACTTATGCTGCCTGGCGCAGAGAGAATGAGAACAATTCTCATTTTAATCGACTCAACAAGCCACACAAATTGCGGTTTTCACTGCTTTTGACTGTCTGAGAGTGGAATACCTGCACTGGAGTGGCTATTCACACGTCACCATGGTTATGATTGCAAATTATTGCTTTAACAGTGCTTAGACGGAAGGGATGGTAGGAGTTAGGGATGCTGCGACAGGGCTACAGAGCACACTGCAATGCCACCGTCACATTGTTGTTTAATTTAAAAAGTAAAAAGATGGAATTTACAGGATTATTTCTTGGGAAGAGTTGGTTTGATAAATGTATGAATATTGTGTTGTACATTTTAGAAATGGTGGAGTAGGATTGAATTTGCTTGTGTTTTTCCGCTGTGGCTTTAAATTATCCGTCCTCTTTCCACAGTACTTCTCCAGAACCGATAGGGTCCTGAAGCACAGAAGAATGTGTCACGAAAACAGAGAGAGAAAAATGAACAAGAGCGCCGGCAAAGTCGGACCCTCACACGAAGCAGAGTCTTTGGGGTCTCCGTTTCTCCCCAAAGAATGTTCCCTACCCAAGAAGAAGCGCCAAAAATGTGCCGAAAAGAGCTCGGGCGGACCCATTTCTGTCCAGCCAGAAGGAAGCGCTTATGCTGTTAAAGAACCAGAAGAGAATGAGGGCCAGAGCCAAGATAAGAATGAAAGTCCATCTCTATATGCCGTGTCCTCCAAGGTAAAAGACGAGTATGTGATAACGGATTACTCTGTGGAACTACCTGAGGAAGCAGCCAGCCAGCACGCCGATGGAGAAATGTCATCAGGAGAGACCACCCCACCCAAAATAGTCCTGAAGAAAGTCCCCAAGAGGACTCTGAAACAGTCCGGTGAGCAAAACCCTCCCTGCCTGCCTACTTTGTCCACTTACGAGGAAAACGATAAGTACACCTTTGACATTGTGGACAAGCAGAGCCTTTTAGAGGTGGAAGGCAGCGCGGAGCTGGAAGCGGTGGAAACTCTTCAGGGAGGACCCGCCAAACCGGCGGCCAGCAGCACAAACTACGACGACGCCATGCAGTTCCTCAAGAAGAAGCGTTACCTGCAGGCGGCCATGTCCAGCGCCGGCCGGGACTACGGCCTGGCCGCCCAGCCCTCCGTCACGCAGACGGTGGTGTCCACCGTCATCGACGAGACGGTCCCGGCCACCATCCTGGAGCCCCAGCCAATAAGCACAGAGATAAAGAGCACTCACGACAAGAACGTCTTGCCCGACGAGGTCCTCCAGACGCTGTTGGACCACTACTCCAACAAAGCCAACGGGCAGTCGGACATCTCCTTCAGCGTGACCGACACCGAGGTCACCTCCAGCATATCCATCAACTCCTCGGACGTTTCGGACACCGGCCCCGTGGAGAGCCTGGGGGTGCCCAGCGCCCCGGCTCAGCCGCCCACTGAGAAAGTCAGCCTCCTGCAAGAGTACTCGAAGTTCCTCCAGCAGGCCCTGGAGAGGACCAGTCAGAACGACAGCTATCTGACCAGCCAGAGCCTCAGCCTGGTGTCCGAAAACCCCACCTTAGCCGGACAGCCTCTGTTCTCCACGGAGAAACAGTTCCCCTCCCCGAGCCGGTTCAAATCAGGGATGAGCTCTCCGCTCCGCTCCACTTTAGAGAAACCTCACTTTGGGCTACTGGTGGGAGACTCCCAGCACTCGTTTTCGTTTTCAGGTGACGAGACCTCGCCCCCCTCCGCGGTGTCCCCGGCCGAGGAGGACTTCATGGAGCAGGTCTCACCCTCTAAAAAGACTGACTCCTCGGCGGGGATTCTGCAAACTTTCCAGATAAGCTCCTTCGATCACAACTTCAAATCACATTTCCAGACGTTGAGATCTGGGGCCCCCTCGCAGTTTACCGTTGCCAACGGACAAATGAGTGTCCGAGGACACAGCACAGACTTCTCAGAGTTCCCCCTAGTCCGGGTCACCGAGTCCAGGTCTCAACTGAACTCCTCCCCCGACGTTTCAACCAGTGAATCGTTTGGCTGAAGACACACGGGGAGAACTCTTCATTTGTTGATCATTTCAGCAGCACTTTATCAAATCTCCCCTGTTTTTGTTTTTTTTTGCCAAATCATGTCCCATTTCAAAATACGTGCTCTTTCTTAAATCACTTAAAAAGTGGTCATGTTTTGTTTTTCCTTAACTTAAACCTGTCACATAAAACGCGCGACCACATATAAAACCGTGCTACAGTTCACATTTCCCTGTTGAAAAAGGCATTTCCTGTCCTGGAATGTACAGCATCCTAAGAGATTAAGTGACCAAAGTGTAATGCAGGAGTTTTGTAAATATTCTCACACTTTTGCCGCCACAGAGTTTATTTTTAATGTCGATGTCAGTTTGCCTTGCTCAAAACAGATTCAGCCTCTCTGCTCAACGCAATATTTCTACTTCCAACATGTCGGCTGCGTGTGTGTGTGTTTGCCTTTTTGTTCTTACTGTAGCTACCTCCCCTCGCTGTTTGTTTGCATTCGTTCTTTATTCCAGGTGGTTAATTACAGCATTATAACACAACAGCACAATCATTCTTTACGTTATAGTCACTTTATACTCGAAGCAAAGACATTTCCACATCCAGACTGCTGACCTACAGTAGGTCTGGGTCTAATTTGGTTGTTGTAGTGACCAAACTATAAAAATCCTTCCTTTTAAGTTCAGAAATTATGTTCGAGTTGCACAGGAAAGGCTGTGTAATTAAAAAGGAAAACAAAAGACTGGGTTATGTTAGATTGAAAAATGTATTTAAAAGCTTTGTTTTTTTGTACTTTCCAAAAAGTAAGACCCCCCCCAATGTAATGTTTGTTGGATCATTTCTGTTTTCTGGGAGTGGTGAATGTAATCTGTAGCATAGAAACAGGTTTGCACCTTTAAAATGACAAAGAAAAACTTTACACGAAGCAAAGCTGAGATTTGCCACTTAATGAAAAACGCTCGAGCCAGATTTGTTTTATTTGAAGTAACACATTTAGCCTTTCAAAGGACGCAGCACTTGTTGCTGCAGCTTTATTGGACCGAGCTGTTTCTATTGGAAGTGATTAAACTTTAGATTCCAGCCATGCTGCAGAACATAGAGCACACGAGGAAATGAGAAACTTTTAAAAAGCTGAATTCATTTCTGCTCTGTGCCTTTTAAAAAAATAGATATATTCTAGCACTTCCTTTTTTTCATTCTTTTTATTTGAGTTTTTTCGTTTTATTTTAACTCGGCCTGATCTTAAAGGCCGCTAACTCCTCTTGCACAACAACAAACACATAAGCTATCGACTTTTTCCACTCTTTAGGATGTAGAACTGGGAGCTTTTATTCGATTCAGCTGCTTTGTTTTATTTAATTTTTTTGTTTGTTTGTTTTTTTTAAAATCATATTAGAAAGAAAGATCTGCAAATGTACTATTCAGACTTCTGTTAGAGACTATAGGCTGAGTACAGCTTCATGTTTTAGACGTAAGCAGTGTTTTTCATTCATTCGAAAACGGCGCATTTACAAACACACAACGTTTCAGGTGTCCCCTGTCTTCTGTCGATGGCTCTACATGTGTACATATGCTCGTGATGCCGTGTTTAACACTGTCTGATGCGCACCATCCAGTTCCAAACTGGAGCCAAGCTCCGTTTTGGAAGTCTCCGCAGACAATCGGGGACGAGCAGCACCCCGTTAATCATCGCCCCCCTCCCTCCGCCTTTCCATCATTCCCCCTAGAATGTATAGAAGATTATCCTGCTGTAAATACAGTGTATATTTTTTATGGTTTTTTTTGCAAATTACTGTTTATTAATGCAGACCAGGTGCGTGGCAAGAGACGCGTTTTGCCAGCAGACAGCAGATGAAGTTGTTTTCAGGCATTTTACACTTTCACTGACTGGTTTTCCGAGAGTTCCAAACGTCTCTGAATCAGGAGGAGAACGACACTTTTAAAAAAAAAGATACCGCAGATTAGTTTGAGAGGATTTTATTATTATTGTTATTATTCTTGATAAGTTATGAGGTATAAAAAAGAGTATTTGTGGGTTCAACTAAAAAAAAAACATTACAGGAAATGAAAGTTGTTTTTGTTTTGTTTTTTTTATTCGTAAAAAAAAAAAAAGTGGAGTGTGACTCCAACTGAAAGTCTGTTCAAATACGAAACGTTTAAGCTTGAATTCACAGCAGTTTATCACCAAAACGTTAGCTGTCTGTTTTTACTGTGGGGGGGTGGACCTCAGAAGCACAGTGCAGATGAGTTATTCTGCTTTTGTAAACTGTTCCTCCCTCAGTTTGAGAAAGTTTTTTTTGTTTTCTTGGGTAAAATCATGCAAAACCGGCAGACTCATGAACTGTGTGAGCAGCTCTAATGCTTCAGTTTTTTTTTTTGTCCCTTTTAATGAACTTGTCAGTCTCCTGGCCATAAGTGTCCTTGTATAAGCTAGGAAAAAAAAGAACTCGTTTTGTGTAAAGATCCGAATTCTGAATTTTTTGATAAAAACTATTTTTGAAACTTTTCATTTAAGGCACTGATACTACAGTTTGTCACACGGACTCACTCTTGCTATCCTCATTTATCTCTGTGCAAGTCGTTTGTGTCAAGATCTTTGAATTCCACGTGGGAGTCTGAGCTTTGACTGGCATTTTCATACTTTTTAAAAGAATCTGACGAGGAAGCCTCCTGCTTCTCTTTAGGGTTAGTCTGACGTTAGGTTGATTTGCATGGTCTCTAACTTGTCCAGTCGAGTGAACTTGTTTGATGAATAATGGGCAGCTTTAATCGTAGGTGATTAATTAGTCAAGTAACCCCATATGATTAGAATTTTGCAATATATCATGATTTGTAAGCAATCCGATGAAATTGTTTTGATTGTTGTGTGTCATGTCCTTATGAATAAAAGTATTCAAAGTATGTGAGCTTGAATTGATCTTATCTTTTTTTTTTTTATGATGTGGGCTTATTTGCTTATGCAGAGCTTTGGAAACTACGTTTTTGAATGGAAAATTGTCCTAATCCAGAAGGCAAACAAGGAGGAGCAATAAAGTGATTTAGCTGTTTTTTGAGTGGTTTGTTTAGTGGAGGGAGGAGGTCTCTTACTAATGACAAAGCAGAGAGAGGAATGTGGACTTGTGCTGTTTTACATCTAACAAACAATCAAACGTGTAATCGAATAGATATTTAAGACAAATGGTTTCATGACAGTGTTCAAACCCTATCACATCCCAACGAATAAATCGTTGAGAGCAGTTTTCTCTGTGTTGGCAGACAGAAAATGGTTAAATGTGAGGCCTCTTTTTGTGCTCCAACAAATCCTGTCTCACCAACAGACATCTGAGCATATTTTAGAAACTGACAGTCCAAATATAAATGTATGTTATTCCCTCCATGTCTTTAATAATTAAACAGCCTCTCTGGGTCCGGGCCGCCTGCCAAGACCAACAGGATCCTTGAGCAAACGCTGCTGCGCACCTTGGAAAGGTAAGCAGTGACCTGCTGGAGGCTGACGTAGTCTGGGCTGGACTGATCACAGGAGCTGATGTGTCTCTCAATCCCTTCCCTCTTCTTTTTTTATTCCTATTTTCCAACAAAGGCACCAAAAGCGGCATGGGACTGTAAAAGGTACGCTTGGATAAACTGACAAACGGACAATCTGATGCATTTCATGCAAATCTGTCAACTATTTATTTCCATTATTTCTAATATTTTTATTCAAGAGTCTGCTAAAATAGGGACACGTTGATGTGACCGTGACCTTTTCTCGCGCCGCCGTTAGAGAGCTGATCTCTGCTCTCCCGTGCGCTTACGTCGCGCCGTTACGCACGCCCCCCCCCCCGCCGCATCCGGGTGTCCTCCTGCCGGACGCATAGCCGTGTCACGCCACTTTGGGAAGCCTGAACTCACTTCGCTTTTCCCAGTGGTCAAAAGTGAAAAAAAAAAGAAAAGAAAAGGTTTACTGCTCATGTGGTCGCTTTTAGGCCCGGTCCACGACGAGTGTAGGTAGTATCAGCGGCTGGCTATGGACACCCGGCCGGTGGGTTGGACTGTGCGCACCTGGGACCCGGAGGGAGATGGGACCAAGCTGCTGAGGGCCGGATCTGGTCCCACCACCACCACCACCACCACACAGGTTCAGGATCTGTTCCATGAAGATGCCCAGGTTGGATGTTTTGTCTGCTTTTATTAAACCGGCTCAGCACCATAGTCCCAAACCATCAAACTGAGTTTTTGTGTGTCTGTGTGTGTGTCTGTGTCTCTGTGTGTAGGGCTTTCACCAGTGCAGCCAGCCGTGGTGGAGGATCAAGCTATTTGTGTGGGAGCCGGTGCTTTTTGGCACCTGGGATGGAGTCTTCACGACCTGCATGATCAATATCTTCGGGGTGGTTCTGTTCCTGCGCACCGGCTACCTGGTGGTCAGTACCGAGTGTTTCACTCTCAGACTCTTTTAACCCGTTAGGTCACGGGTCAAACCTTACCTTGAAGACATTACCGTTTTGAATTAAGGGGGCTGGGGTTTCTGAAGTGGGCCAGAGAGTGGGGAGAGCTGACAACATTTGTTTGGTCAAAGTGAAGGATTTTCCCATCTCTGTGCAGCCATCTTTAATTCTCTTATCTTTGGCTGCAGCCATGATAAAATCTGTTCCTTCCAAATGCACCCCGTGTTTACCAAAGAACTGGGGATTTGCCATCTTTGCTGTAAGCATAGCTGGACTGTGGTTGTTGCTTGCCTTTTGGTCTGGTTTGGCAGTTAGAATGTAGTTTTCTAACCCCTCTTATCCAGAGTGGGATGCATCTTATCAGAAACGATCTGCCTGCTTTTATGTGAAGGAAAACTGTGCACCAGTGATCGCACCTGCTCTGTTGGTCTTTCATTCTATTCATTTCATCCTGTTAACTTCCACGGCACAATCTCATCAGTTTAACTTCCCACCAAGGATAAAGTCATGGTAAAAAAAACTATGAGGATAGTTAAAATTTTAAAGAAAAGGGTCTTTTACCTAAAGTGAAAAGTCAGGGAGGGGGTGCAAAATAAAACCAAACATGATGCCCATATAAAGACTAACAATAGTGTAAACATTGGGGAAAAAGAAAGCTTTCAATTCTGTCCAAATACAAGAGATCCTGTAGGATTTCATGCTTTGCAGCTACTGTTTGTCTGTCTAGAGGCAGTGAGTGTGTTCAGTATTTCCTGCCACTTGGAGCTGTGTCGTGCCATCCCATCAGGGCAACACTGGTGTGCTGCTGGGGATGTTCCTGGTCTCCATGGTGGTGCTGGTCGCCCTGGTGACGGTGATGTCGGGGATCGGTGTGAGCGAGCACTGCGGCATCGGGAGCGGCGGAATCTACTCCATGATATCCACTGTCCTCGGGGGCCGGGTGGGGGGCACGGTGGGCCTCCTCTATGTGTTCGGACAGGTGAGTAACAGCTGTAAACAATTCATTTTCCATGCTAGTCTTGTTTGGAATGCAGCTTAAAGTTGATTAAAACTTTTTTTTTTAACGTTGCAGTGTGTTGCCGGGGCCATGTACCTCACGGGCTTCTCTGAGTCGGTGGCGGAGCTGCTGGGCCTGCAGAACCAGTGGGCGGTGCGGGGCATGTCCGCCGCCGTGCTGCTGGCCCTGCTCGGGATCAACCTGGCGGGGGTGAAGTGGATCGTCAGGATCCAGCTGCTGCTGCTGGCCGTGCTGGCTATCTCCACGCTGGACTTTGTCATCGGCACCTTCACACACCTCGATCCAGGTAGGGAGGCAGGGTTTGGGTTGGGGCTGTGGTTGTTTACTCCTGAACAACAGTTCATTTTTTGGAGCAAAAAAAAAAAAAAAAAACATTTATTTTTTCTGTACTTGCTACAGAATCATGTGAATGTCGGAAAGTCTGAAGTAGCAATGGTTCAGATAAATGAGAGGAAATATCAGTTCTTGTATAACTTAGGAAATCATCCAATAATTTAAGACTACAATAGAAAATATAACTGTTAAATATTATAATTATATTAAAGGGCATTATTGAACAGCATCTGTGCAATTTACATAAATTGTTTTTAAATCTATTCAAAAGTTGTTGTTTTTTTGTCTTAATATATTGATGAGGGCAGAGTGTGTTTTTTTGTGCTCGGTTATGATTTATGTACATTCTAACATGTTTACATGCCGTTTTGGTACCAGTGTCAACTTTCACTTATTTTGTTCAAAAGCCTAGTTTAGCTCTTCAGACTTTAAAACAGTTTCCACTTTGAAGTGTATCAAATCTCATCCAGTCTCTTTGTGATACAATTATCTCCTCGGAAAGCATTCGTCATTTGGGTTTTTTCTTACTATGGAAAGGCCCTCCCGTCCCTCTCCATGCGATCTTTTATCACCTTTGTTTTTGATGGAAGTGTAGGCGTTTCCAGGGCCCCAAGCTCATCCAAGTGTTATCTGTCTCACAGAATGTACCAGTCTGTTAAGGCAACCACGTTTGGTGCTCCTGCTGTGTTTCTGATGAATTTGCTTTGTTACTGATCATCCATGGAATCCTCTTGGGGATTTAAAAACACTTTTAAAAGATAATTCCAATATTGGACAAAAAAAGGTTCCCAGATGCAAATTCCCACCAATTTTTACACGACTACCCTCAAAATAAAACTAAACATCTGCACAAGACCCTGCATTTTGTTAGCTTAATCAGAATGTGAGCATTTCTTTCAATATGAGATACAACTTTTTCAAGTACCCTTACAAATAAACATTAAGCAATGAACATATAAAAGTGTATCAGTTACTAATAGAAGATATACATGAGAAAGGAGCACTTTGCTCTTTTTCAAATCAATAATGACCTGCTCAGACCAGCAGGTGTTGCTGTGGTATCACCAATGTTGCCCAATCAGCATCCATTTCTACAGCAAGGTTTTTTTTTCATTAACCTCATACTATGATAGAAGGGCTTTTTTTCTCTCATTTTTTTCTCTTGGATTCTAGTTTGTTTCTTGCAGTTAGATTCTGAGCCGAATTTAAGAATGCAATGTTTTTATTGAGATTTTCCCTTTTTAAAAAAAAAGAAATTGTATTCTTTTGTTGGTCTGCAGGAAGTCCTTCCCCACATTTCCTGTTCTCAGTGATTATCTATTTCCTGTTGAGTGGGAAGAGAAAGAAAAGCGTTCCAGAAGTCGAGCCCAGGCACATGAACGCTAGCTTTGCCCTTGTAATCGAAAACATTAAGCTTTGCCACCTTCTGCTGCTCGGCCTCTGCCACCGTCCAGTCTGCCGTCCAGTCAGCAGAGGTCAGATTGCAGCTTCTCCCCACTGTGGGAGAGTCGACCACAAAAGCTACCCCAGGCTTTTCCAATTAAGAGCCGATGTGTGTTGTGTTGACCTCATGTTTTGGCGCGGGACCAGCAGGTCCCCGAACAAACCGAATGGGCTCAGATTAGCATGAACTTGCTGAATGCTGAGGCACATCCTGAAGGAAAAAGAGCCACCGCCAAGACGATGTGGTCATGGTTTGATAACATGTCCCCTGTGTGCACTTGGCAGTACTGTTACTGTACGTTTCACACACCCCCACAGGAGCTGAGCCCTGCCTTGTCGACTAAGTAATATTTTCATTGAAGGCCTAATATTTTGACTGCTCAGTATGCTTGGGAAAAGTTTACATTTAATTAGGACGTTGACATCGGCATGTAAACCTTTTCCCAAGGCTCTTGATCAGAAAATGTTTGCCGGCACGTTTATCATCCTGTGTGACTTAGATTCTGCCTCCATACAGTTACAGTGGCTTATGTATTAAGCAAAAAACTTAGATGTTGGCTTCTGTTATTGTGTCAATTGTTTGAGTTTTGTGGCATTTTGTGGCGAGCGGATAGTCTTACAGTAATCAGTCCCCTTGGTATTTTTTCTGTTTTGCTGCATTACGGGCATAATTTGAGCAAAAATATAAAGAAAACGCTAAAAGTTATGATTGAGTACCACCAGTTACATTCAGAATAATCTCAGTTTGGACAGCTTGTGTGTCTTAGAAGTTCAGAAGATGTACTCATGCTAAGAAAATGTCTAAACCATGTTTAAACATCATTTACAGAGAAACATCAAGCAAACACCACAGGAAAACTGGGCGAAATTGAACAGTTGTGGAAATGATGGGTGCTAGATTATGTTAAATATCTTTGAGGAATTGATACCTGGACAGATGTGCACTTGTAGAAATAGCTATGTAAATCTTTTGCACCTTCAAATTTGGTTTGCATTATGATACAAAACATATCCATACTTAAGTGCAGCAAAATAAGGGCTGCATAAAAAATAATCCACTTGTTCATCCTGCTGCATCCTACCCACCAAAGTTAGACTGAAAAAACAGGACAACATAGCCCACAATAACAGTATATCATCTTAGATCAGAGGTTAACTGACGTACCAATTTATGTGCAGTGATTTATTTAGTCTGGCACATAAGGTTGCCAATGTACTGTTCCTGTCATCAAACAGTTTAACCACAAATCTTTCTGATTGTAGTGCACAAATGAATCCCATCTTAACGGGCCGTGCTCCTCGCTGAGCAGGAAGGCATAATGGGCTCCTTGGGTCTCGGATTTAGGGTGTTAACCAGACTCACCCACATTTTTGGATGATGACAAAGAAAAACTGCTGGGACCGAGATCTGAGGCCTGCTTCTTCTCCAGAGACGGCCACACCATCTCCCTCTGTGATCCTAACTGAAAAATATAGTTTGGTTCAAACTAGCTCTTTCTATTGATCATCCCAAAGGGACCTGCCCCACCTATGTAAAATTGCAGCCCGGCCTGGACTCCATGCGGGGTTGGTTTGGGAGGGTAAGAGGTCAGCTAGATGGAGGGAGAGGCCTCAGATGCTCATGTAATCCTACTACACATTCCAGTGTGCATCAGAGGAATGCCGCGCTTATTGAGGAGCCGTGTTCTGCACACACACACACAGCAAACTGAAATAAGGACTCAATCCCAACTGGGATGTATGAAAACATGGCCGGTTATTACCATGTTATTGACGTATTTAGCAGCAATCCATACATCAGAAGGTATATAGATCGCTTAAACCATGTTCATAACTGAAAGGGTTGAACAGATTCCATTTACGATTTTCCTCATGTCTGGTTCAGATTGATTCAGCGATTTTGAAAGAAACAGTCAGATCAAAAGCTTCACTTTGAAAGTCTTCTGCTCATAGAAATCTCTCAGGCAACACAAAAAATGATTTATCAAAGCTTTTTTAAAATTTGATTTAGCTTATCTTACCCTCACTTTACATTCATTTCATGGTATATTGAGGTACAAACACTGGGAAAATAACAGGGAAGCTGTCATCTATTACACGGCGTCTACAAAAATTTACCGGGGAAACACAAAAACTGGTCTTTATTTGTAGAGAGAACACAAGTCAGCATATTGTTCCCACGCAGCCTTTGTTCTGCAGCAAAGCTTATATAAGTTAGGTTGAAGAGTTTATATATGTGAACGCCCTTTGGAGGGGAGATCAGTCGTGAGAGCTGGCGAATTCAGGCTAGCTTGGATGTTGTAGTATGATGTTGTAATATGGGTGGGGAGCCTATGGCGTGGACATTGACACTGATCTGCCCTGGATTTGTTAGATCCTGTCTGCTTAGACAGAGGGCAATCTCTCCGGGTCACAAAGTTGACAAAAGTTTGAGCAGGATCTATTTAATCTTAGTGTTCACTCCTTCTCAACACATATCCTGGAGAACATGAACTCTGATTGAAGCTCTTTAGATTTTGGTCTGTTGAAAAAAAAAGGAAAAAAAACGAAGAAAACTTTGGTTCTTTCTCTAAAACCTGGAAGCTGTTGAGCTTCTGAAAAGGGTGGTGACTTCCTTTTGGATAAACATGTCATTAATCTGAGAGAACACATTCTTTCCCATTGCGAGATAACCAAGTGGGAAATGTCCGGTGTTGTAACAAAGGTGGGTGGTTTAAAAGGCCCCCACCAAAACAGAACAGCCTTCACTGACACATTGAGCAGACCGACCCAGACCTGTCCTGTCTTTGTGTCTGTGAAAGGGAGCTCACACTATTTAGATTTTTACTAAAAAAAATGTTTTATGACAAAGTCAATCATTACTCAGTGGAAATATGCTATTAATCTGCTGTTTCAATCATTTTGTACAATGCAAAAGTTATGTTATGGAATATATCCACACTCACAACTTGGATCATATTTATAAAAGGGATAAAGAACACCCCTTTTCCAATAAAAATGTTTTTAAGAAATACAGTAGTAGCCACATATTGGAGTTAGTTATGTACTTTTTGTGTGTACCTCAGACAAAAAGCTCCTAACATATTACACTATCATTATTGACTAAGGTCTTCACCCGGATCTGCCAGTCTACACACTGAGAATTGATATTAAAACTTCAATCTCTTACTCCAAAGCCTCAGTTCCCGTGCCAGATGTTGAAGTTTATGACAGTGCATTTAGAGGGGCATGGCTTGTTTGGATGGGTTGCCAGGAGAGAATTTTTCTCTGTAAAATGTGGCAGCGTGGCTTTGGTTTGCAAAGTTTACTCTGAACACGCCAAAACCAAAGACCAAGAACTGTATTTCAGCATTTCTTAAGCCCAGCGGTGGAGGGAAGATGATGATTTGTGGTTGCTTCACATCCACAAGACCTGGACACCTTGCACACATTGAATTAACCACGAACTACTTCATAAACCAAACTATTAAGAAATTCAACTTAATTTACGCTAAATGAAAATACGGCAACTATTCATTTGTACATCAGGACGACAGACAGAGAGAAAAATTAAAGTGTTGCTAGAGCTTCTCAACCTGACTCTGCTGCTGTGGTGGGACTTTATGGCCGTGCCTAAACAAATGCCTGCAAACCTCAAAGAACTGAAGCCACGCTGTAGACAAGAGCTGACCAAAAATTCCTCTCCCACCGCAAAAGAGACTGGTTATTGTATGCATTTCAAAGGATAATCATATGTGTGTGACACTTTCATCATCAGCTTATCTCACAAAGCATTGTAAATATTGTTTGGTTATTTCCAGTTGAAAATCCTTAGTGGTGTCATTGTGTATGGCGGAGGAACCACCCATCCATTTTCCACAACCCAGCTCAGAGTCATGGAGCCCATCCCAGGAGATGCACACCCAGAATGAAATGAATTGATAGCCTGTGGCCTCGAATCATGATAAATAAACAATTCTAGGGCAACATTTATTATTTTTTGGGAGTTTATCAAAGAGTTTTTCTGTTTGCAAGTTGCTGGCACAATGCTACCTATTTCAGAGGAGCGTGGATCCGGGAAAGATCCCAGGAGATCAGAACTGTGAAATAGGTTGTAGTGTTAGGCCGTTTTACTTTCTTACCATCACATTTCAGCCTGTGATCTGTTCCTCAAACAATAAAGTTGTATCGACAAAAACTGTTACAGGAATTCTGATGTTTCTGCACTGAGATGTTCTCTTTGTTTTAAACTCTCCCTTCAGTACATGGATTCATCGGTTATTCGGCTGGGCTTCTCAGCAGTAATACAATGCCGGATTTTACCCCTGGAGAAAACTTCTTTACAGTGTTTGGGGTCTTCTTCCCAGCTGCCACAGGTAAGCAGGCCCCATTATACTTTCCTTTTTTATCTCACTGTTTTTGTCTTGCATGAAGAAAACAAAAAAAAACCCCACGATGCTCCTCTTTTTGGGAGCTGAGACTGTTTAGATGTGAAAATAGTTTGTGGGTGCATGGTTGTGTACATTTATGTGGTGTGTGTGTGTGTGTGTGTGTCTGCGTGCATGTGTAGGGGTAATGGCAGGTTTCAACATGAGCTCTGACCTCCAGCGGCCTGAGAACAACATCCCCGTGGGAACGCTGGCAGCTGTGTTCACCTCGTAGGACGGCACCCTCACCCCACTCCGGCACAAGCATGATGACCAAACCTGACCATAAACAACACAATAACACAATAAACTGCACATTAGTTCCACGTTAACATATAGGATTCTACCATCCTGCACCTTTTTTCTTAGTTTTAGATTAGACATTTACTTGTCAGGTTGTTCTGGCTGATTCCTCTTGTTTATGTTGGGAGAAGAGCAGTTGGTAATAATTCTGTTTGGTGTACTGTCTTTGACCCACAGGTGGTTCCTGTATCTGGTCTTTGTCTTCCTCCTGGGAGCCATCTGCACCAGAGAAGCTCTGCGCTATGACTTTTTGATCGCAGAAAAGGTAAACTCTGTTTCCATCTTAAGCTGTGGGGGCAGGCCCTCAGCAGAAAAAGAAAGGTGAGGGGATCCCATGTAATTGTTTCATTCTTCAATGAAAGGGCATTCACAGAAAGCACTTTTCTCTGCTCCTCACAGCCTTTGTTAACACTCTTGCATTGTTTTTGTTTTTTCGTCTCTCCTCACAGTCTCAGACGGTCTGAGATTCTTTATTTTTTTATCCATATGTTGAAATTGTGAGTCTGTAAGAGTAAAAATATCCGAATGGAAGCTAAAGCTTATGAACACTGCCCTCTAATTTCAAAGTGAACACCAGTTTTATATATGGTGCAAACATAGTCTGAATGTTTGAAAGCTTCAAATTAAGTAACTCACCTGTGATCAGCCTCAGGGCACACGTGCATATTTAAACTAACATTACAGTACAGCTCTTGTACATAAAAAATGAACCAGTAACTATTGATTGGGAGTTATTCAACTAAATCGTTAGCGTTTGCATTAACTAATTGTCTAAGTGTCTGTTAGTTCTTACTGTTTTTGTAAGAGGCCGGCTGCAGCGGAACTAACTTGGGTGTAACTTTTGTGAGCTCTCAACCCCACCTCATCCTTTTTCACCCTCTGTTTGTTTTCCGTCTTCCTCCAGGTCTCCTTGGTGGGTTTCCTCTTTCTGCTGGGACTCTACATCTCCTCCCTGGCTTCATGCATGGGCGGCCTGTATGGAGCACCCAGGATCCTTCAGTGCATCGCCCAAGAGAGGGTCATCCCCTCCTTGGCCTTCCTGGGAAGAGGGGTGGGTGGATAGATGGATTTAGCCAAGTATGGAGGAATGTTGGGATTTACAATGAGAGTATTTCCCAAATTGGAATGTGACAGTACCCACAAATTGATCAATTTGTTGCTTCGGGAGATTTGAAATAGAGCATGAATGTTAAAAGTAAAATACATTTTCCATAATTGAAAAATTTTCTTAATATGAAGCCAAAATTATTACATAAACACATAGAAAAACATTTTTCAGAGAGCTTATTGTGATTACTCACGCCTCACGTATGTAGACTGGATATTAGATGATGGCTTGTGTTTATGTTGCAAATATTTTTTTGCTGTTTTTGTTCACTATCACGTCTTTTTTTTAGTGCAACTAGTTCACCATCATGAAAACAAGCCCTGAGCATGATACTTCCCACACTCAAAATAAAGAAAGACTTGTGCGCTATTCATGGGTCTAATAACTGAAGATATTCATAAAGAAAAAATTGATAATTTTGTTTATAATAATAAGTTTGTTTCTTTACCCCACTGTTTGATGCGTTTGGAGCTTCTAAAGTCTGACCTGGTAAAAGCGACTGGCAGTAAACTGCGACAATTTCAAAAATATTCATATACAAGTCATGTTGCCATAGACAAGATTTGGATAATTGTATCCTAATGTGTGCTTAGCTTAGATGTATAGGGGGTGTGGTGCACGGACTCGGCAGGAAACGGTTTCAGGACCGCCTAATTATAGAGCACAGGCTCCATGTAACAGAAGTGAGTTGAGTGACTTTGCCAGCATAGAGTCAAACCACACTGCTGTTACACACACGGGCACACGGTCACGTTAACACCGTGACCCCGTCCGCCCCACTCTTCCTCAGGCTAGCCTGGACGACGAGCGGCGTTTGACCTCTCGCTGCAGGCTGGAATGAGGCCTGAGACATCTTGGCCAAAATCAAAGCCTCAGAACAAACGCAGGAAGGGCGACGGCAGGGCCCAGCTCTGCTGTATGCTCTGGAGGCCCGCCAGGCACACAGCAGTCCTCCTTCAACTGTGTGATAGGACTTAGGGGGGGAGTGGGAGAAAACTGGCTAACAAATAATAAAAGGATTTCTTTTTTTTTTTCCCGCAGGGGATTGTTGGGCCACATACAATAATACGCAATCCCAGAGAAGTTGGGACACTGTCAAATGTAAATAATTCAGCGAATGGATCAGTTGCAAACTCTGGTTTGTTCATGGTGCAGACGTGCTTGAAAACAAAAAGCAAAACTCTTTTTTCATATATGTTAACAATGAATTCAAACTTTAAGGGGTTAATAGTACGGACTGTATTCAGCCAAGTCCATTATGCAGAGCCTTCTGCACCAAAGACATGCTGTCATAGTAGATGCATAAATTAGTATTTTTGAAAAATACTGTGCCTACCATTGAAAAAAAATATTCAGAAATGCTTTCTTTTTCTTCCCAGAAAACAAAAGACTTGTCAGTGGTTTGTCAATATCGTACGTCGCTTTCCGTCTTCCAAAAGCATTCTGAATGCATAAATGTCAACAGTTTTGGTGCTGAGTTTTTTTTTCCAATATTGAACAGTTCATATGTTAAAATATGTTGCAGATTGTTGACCAATTGAGCAGAACCTTATACTTTGAGGCTGAGGACATTTCAGGGGCCACTGACCGATATTTTGTCCATTTCTCTGGCTGACAGAAAGGTCCAAACAAAACCCCGGTGGCGGCCATCTGTCTGACCAGCCTGCTGACCATGGCCTTCATTTTCATCGGCCAGGTCAATGTGCTGGCGCCCATCGTCACCATCAACTTCATGCTCACCTACAGCTTCATTGACTACTCCTACTTCAGCGTGGCCATGACCTTCCAGCTTCAGTCCAAACGGATGAGCGCTGGAAGAATAAAGCGCCACAGGTCGGTCAGGCAGAGCTCCAGACCGCTGGTCGAATCCGCTCCGGCCAGCTATGGCAGCGGAGGTGAGAGTCCGCGGGGGAAAGGCACTCTGTTGGAGTTTACCAGGGACATGGACCAGATCTTTCCATTCATCTCAACGCTGGACCCCGGAGCAGAGAAGAGCCCCTTGAGACAGGAGCTGAGCAGCAGTAACTTCTCTCACAGCAGAAAAGTCACAGCCAAACAGAAGCTGATGGACAGCTACGGTTTTGACCCGAACAGCAACACGTGTCCGGAGGAGAAAGGAGGAGAAACGGGTCCAGCTCCTCCATGGGAGGGAGCGGAGGTTCAGAGTGGAGATGGTGGGCTCAAATCTGAGGAAGCACCTCATCTCAAATGCACTTTGAAGGGTTGCGTTGAACAGGATTCATCTGAAGGAGCTCCCAATCACAACACAGGTGATCAGATTTACTCATTCAACTTTTATCCATATAGAATTATATAATGTAGAAATGTTTTATACATGTTTGCAGTTACCTTTATTTTTATTTTTCAGGTTCTGGAGGAAAAACGGAACACCAGAGCTTTGAAATCCAACCTCTGCAGGACTCCTTCTTCACAAAGATATGTAACCACTGGATTGCTCTCATTGGGGTAGATGCTCCACTTATTACTGAAATGTGTTTTTGTGTTTTTTTTCAGATAATTCCTGAACAACTATCCAATTAATGAGCAAACCCATTTGTTTTATTTCAGGCACTGAGCTCCATATTGATCATGTTTGTCATTCAGTGGGTCTATGCTTTGGCAAACATTCTAGTGGCCTTGCTGCTCTTCTTCTACATTGGCAAAACAAGTCCTGGACTTCCTATAGGTGATTCCCATCTGTTCACTTCCTGGAATAGAAACTCTCACCTTGGCTTCTGTGCGTCTTTTTTTGGCTTGACGGTTGCATCTGAAAAAGCTGTGAAAGCATCTGTATTTATTATAGGTTTATTAAATCTCTGAATCAAATGTTTACACTTATGTGAATTCAGAGGTTTAATTGAACCATTTTAGGTTGCTGTCAAATAAAATGATAAAAGATAGCTTCTACTTAAAGTGAGTTTGAATTTAAACCTTGAATTCATTTAGCTGATATTTACGGCTAAAGTGAATTGAAGTGAACAGCATACAGTGTCTTTCAGTGTATGCATGTTATCATACCATCCGGATTACTCCTTAACAGCGGTTTATTTACAAAATGAGCAGCTTTGGTCACTGCGTGCTCAGGCATCATGTGAAAGGCAGCTAATTCTGCTGGGAACCTCACTTTCTGTGCTCGGCAGCTGTTGCCACTTAGGAGCTCTAGAATAGCTGGATGGCACACTGTACATCTGTCTTACGGCATACCTCCGTTGTCTGACTCACAACATTTCCAAACATGTGCGCTCAAGTGTTAAGCAGTTGTCCCACAGGTGCACAATGAAATGTCAATATACTCAGAGAGGAAACTGGGCACACTTGGTTTTGGCATAAAAATATTTAAAAAAAACACTATGAAAAACAAGTGCAGTAAAATTAAACTCATAGGTAATGAATCAGAAAATGACGTCAACTGTAGGATTTGAATGGTTGCTTCTTTTTTCTGCAGGTGTTGCTGCACAGTTCAGCTTCTTTAAATGGCTGAAGGCAGCGCTTACTCGCTTTTGCAGGTACTGAATCATATATCCTCATCAATAATGCAAACTGTAAGGTGTTCTCACTCAGATTATGAATGTTTTCCAAATATCAGCTACACCTACAGTGAAATGTGAAGACATGTGCTTTTGGCTTTAGGTTGAGGGTATTCACATCCACATTTGGTAAAGAATTGTGTTTTGTTAATTACCAAGCTTAATTATATAGAACTTTCTACTTTCAAGGGGGAAAAAAACCCTGATTTTGAAATTGAATTCTTCATAAATGCTATAAATGTCAGTATTATCATTTCCTACATTGTACGCTCAGCTTATCCTCTTTTCTCTTTATGTGTTTGTCCTTCAGAAAACAAACTCCCCAGGATGAGATCGTCCTGACACCCTCTCTGTCTGGGATCGGGCTCAAAACCAAGCAGCTGACGGAGGAGAACACTGACTTTGCCTCTCGTCACCGCTGTCACCAGTCCTCATTCATCCAAGCGGATAAGTTGGTCCAACCACCGAGCCACTGACTGACTCGAACACTGCCTGGCTTTGATGGCACAGATGACTCCCCGCAGCCACATTTTCTGCCTCACACTGTGACTCATTTAGTCCCGCCCGCCTTCCCCTGCTGCACACTTCCAGTGGGGGTTCAATGAAAAACGAAGAACTGCTCAAAAAGATGTGTGTTTCTTGTGGGGAATGAGAAAAATGTTGAGAATTTTGTTTGTATCATTCTTCTTACAGAAGCTGAAATGAATGTGGAGCAAACACGTGTTTTCCCTCATGTATTTAGTTATTTTTCTTACATGCATAACCACAATGTTAATTTGAGGTATGTTTTATGTTGTGCATTTTTGCACTGTGGAATAATTTCTTTTTTTACTATGTGATTTGTAAAGTGCATAATGAAAAAAATTCACAACAATATAAGACATTTGGGTCAGAGGTATGCATATAGTGTAAATATTAAACCAATACAGATCACACGGGGAAAGCGAGAAACAAATTGTCATGGAATAAAGTTTGCCTGTGATAATTGTCTGCAATAATTTAGTCATATTTTATGATCCTTGGGAACAAATGGTGGTTCCGAAAATAAAATAAAAGTTTTTCTCATGGCAAGTGATAGATGAAAAAGAAAACAGGGAAAACCTACTCAAAAAACAAATGAGGCTTTGTTAGTGAAACACAGTGTAGAGATATATTTATCTACTGTCTAACAATGACTCCAAACCAACAGAGACATAAAGAGCTGCTCTTCAGCAACAAGAGAAGAGAAAAGCATGGATTCCTCTAACAGATGTTGTCCACAGAGCACTGATCTCATAGGGATAAAACATTTTTAAAAACAGAAGACAGCCTGTGTCCACAGTAGAACTGAGGCGAGATACTCAAACCATCCTTGACACTATTAAAACTTCAGAGAACCAAGCAGTTGTTTCAATTTAAATAAAAAGAATGGTCTTTTATCCAACCCACGGTTGTTAGAATGACGTGGAAATAAATTCCCTTTAAAGTCTAAGGGGACTGGACTACTGCAGGGTGTCAGGGTTTGACTCGTCTAACCTGACTCCAGTGGAGTGCACATAAAATCCCTGCAAGTCGCGGATCACTTTCACTGTTCACCCCCACCATTGTGGAAGTCCAATCTCAAGGGTTAGTGTGTGTGTGTGTGTGTGTGTGTATGAGAGACAAGTAGACTTTGCATGCCTGTCTAACTAGTGCAGTGCACTAAAACTTTTAGTTTGTCAGAGGTTATAGTGTTTCTTCTGTTATTAGGATACTTGAATTTTGAGCTCCCCCCAAAATTTTTTTTAATGGGGATTCGTTTTAAAGATGATTTATTTAATGATTTATTACTTTTTTTCTCTTGGAGTGTAACTGCTTGGTTGCCTTTAAGGGAGCTGCTTCCGACACCTGCAGTTAAGACAAGCAGCTACTGGAGTGAATAACGGGGTTTTTTGCTCTGTGTGTGTGCGTGTGTGTGCGTGTGTGTGCGCGTGTGTGTGTGTGTGAAGAAGGAGGAGGAGCCCGGGCTCCTCCGCCGAGATAACAAGCTGCAGCCCCGGCTCTCTTATCTTCCGCTCCCCGCCGTCTGAGCCGCGGAACTCCTCCGGACCCTCCAGGCGGGAGTGAAACCCGTTTGTGCCCTGAGCCCCTGACCCCCTCTCATGGTGTCCCGGGGAGGCTCCCCGGCAACTCTCTCTGGACTTTACGGAAACTCTCGGCGGCCGCTCGTTTCGGGCTCGTGAAAACATCATGGAAACGTGCTTTCTCAATCACGTCCCGGGCTTGTGCGTGCCGGGGCGGCTGCTGCTGCTGCTGCTGGCCCTGCCGCGGCCCCTCCGGGCGGGGGGCCCCGCCGTCGACGGCCCGGTCCCGGCCACGGAGGGCTTCTATCACTCCCCGGCCACGCGTGAACTCAGTCTCACGGGAAGTGCCGCCACCGCGACCTCGCGCTCCGGCGAGAGTTTGTCCCCATCACAGAGGAGCCTCCTGCTCACGCGCGCGGCAGACACGCACGCGGCCACAGCCGCCGTCGCGAGCTTCGGTAAGGGTCGCCGCTTTCCAGCAGTTTGTAAAGTCGTTAAATGGCGCTCGCTCAGGGGAAAGCGGAGCCGCTTACGGGGGTGCATAGCTGGAGGATGCAGCAGCAGGAGCTCAGCTGGGATGTTACAAAACAATTCCAGCCTGTTTGGGGCTCTTAACTCTGACCGAAGTCATGTTGCACTCGTCCCTCGGTGTGTGATTCAAAGTGGGCTAATTGGCTCATTCAGATGAGTTTGCTTTGTTTACTTGCTAGCTCGGTACCCCGAAATTAGGCAACTTGGTTTTCCCTCTCTTGATAATTGAAAGCAGAAAACAGCAACTGTTGTTTTTACAAATATGGGACCTGTTTGATTATACCACACTTGTCAAATTAGTTCAATTTCTGCTTTTTGTAGGGCTTTGCAATTTAGTTTTTTTTGTTTGTTTGTTTGTTTTGATGCTCATTTCCACCTCTGCAGGGGGGTTGATCACCGGTGATGGAGAGTCCTGCTACTACTTTAGGCCAAAAGAATGTAATCTGAAAATGTTTTTAAACTGAAGTTCATAGGATGCAGCTCTCCTGTTGATCAACTTTCCTCAGTTTGTCCGGTCTCCAGAAAATACTGAGTCTCTCTCAATGTGTTTTCCAGTCATTACATCATGCACAAGTCAGGTTTGGTGCGCGTCTCGGTCGACACAAGTCGGTGCAGCTCGTCTCGATTTCCTTTTTAAGACGAGGTGTTGCTGTCTGCAGAGTCTTAGAGACTGTGTTGTTATATTTTCTTTCTCACTGTTACTACAGAGAAATTACAGAAGAGCAGTTTGCACATTGCTACATATGTCAGAGCAGGATCTAGGGTGCTTTTTAGCATGCATTTAGGGCATAAAGCAATGGAAAGCCATATCTAACTAATTCTTTCCAAAACTTCAGATAGTTGGATTTTGTGAAACCATTCTTGCACACAGCGCCCAAACTCAGCCACCACATTATTAGGAAAAAACAACAACTTTTTGTTGAGTTTTATAGCTTTAAAAGAGGTGTTTCTAAATAAACCTGCAACACCGTGATACCGGGTCATACCAATGATCCATAAAACAATAGAGAAGAGGCTTTAGCAGCTGTAATACCGGCAACAATTTCATCCCTGTGCTGGAGGATTTAGATCTATAAGCTGCTGTGCTGGAGGCAAAATATCTACCCAGCTGGTTAGAGCAGCTCTTCTGCCAGAAGGGGGTTCACTACTGAAGTTTTGCAGGTAAATAGTTCTACATTACCAGAAATCAGCATCACTGTATTTTTAGTTAAATAACGGTTGATGTCACATAAACAGACAATTGATCTTACTGAGTTTTATCAAACGGCTGCCTTTCTTTATGAAATGGCAGGACGAAGTAAAAAATAAAAGATTTGCCTCTGTTTTCTGAAATAGTCCTAATTCTCTCTATTGCAGAGTGTAAAATGTCTGAGATTTAGCATGTTTTAAAGCAAAGTCAGGGATCATCTGTGGCAGTCAAAGTGCCGCTATGGAAGATTGTTTTTTATTTGCCCGTTGTGGGTTTGGCTGCTATTCGGTCATTTCCTCCGACACCTCTCTGCATGCAGGCAGTTACTTGGAGTCCAACTGGGACGTGTCCCAGACGGTGTGACAAACCAAATGCACTCACACTGTGCCTCGGGCTTAGACACGGATGCTGCAGGGGAAAGATAAGGCAGGAGTTATTCACGCACAGCTTTACGGCCGTGGGGACAAACCTCCAACATAGACTGTGTATGTTGCAGCTTTACAGTCACAAACAAGCTCCTCGGCCACAAATATCGCCTTTGGTCTGCGCGTTGAAGTTGATCACATCTCTGGTGGGCCATCATCAGAGTGCGGGAATAGTCAACGTTTGTGTTACTACTGTATGCGAGGCCTGGACTGTCTGAGGGATAGCAGATGTTGAAAGGCAACACTGACAACTGCGTTAACAGCAGAGCGATAAACAGCAGAGGATCTGGGAGTGTCCGTCATTAGCTGCCAGCACCGCGTTCCAGTCGGACATTTTTCTGCCCAGATTGGATCCAGGGAGACGACATGAAATAATGGAAGAGGCTCGTCCAGAGGAAGCGCAACAGAAAAATAGTCTGGTGGCCCACTTCTCGCCATAGACTCCAAGTAGACGGCCTGTTCTGCAGCTGAACCTCTCTCTCTATTAGTTTTGGATGGCGGCCGTTGGTGGCACTGACACTCTTCCTCAGAGTTGTTGTTCCAGCCCTGGAGAGCAGCCAGATGAGAGGCTGTTAGACAGCTCAGCATCAGAGAGACGCGTGCAGGAAAACCAGACTTACACTGAGTGTGTTAGTGTGCACATGATACTTAAGATCCTCTGCTCCGTATCATGTCATATCAAATTGAATTGTCCTGTTTTCAAATGAAGCGGGTGGGATTTCATCGGCGTTAATTTCTTGAACACACATGTTCATTTTCCTTTGTTGATGAAAACAAGCGAGGTCCCCATAAATGTTAGGAAGTCACAAATCTTTTGTATTTCTTCGACTTTAAAGTGGTGTGCCAGTTGAGAGTTCAGCATTTAGCCACCAGAACTTGCAAAACGGAGCTAAAAAGAGGGTTAAGTGGTGTATTTTAGTGTAGATGGCCATTGGTATCGGATTCACTTCACTTGAGAATAGTAGAAGAAGCTAGAAAGGATAAAATGTATAAATATAGCTTTACTGCTACAATGAATAGTGGGTGTCTTTGATGATGTGGCATCTCATTTTAACAGAGTATTGATTGAGGTGAGAGCTCCTGTAAACATGCGTCTCTGCCCCTGTTTATGTTCCAAAGCAGTCCTCAACTCTAAAATGTACAAATGCATCCAAACCAGCAGTTTCTTCTCTATGTCCTCCTCATTTCTGGTGTTTTGGTCACTGAAACCACACCAAAAAGCCATTCTGAACTCACACCCAGATCCATGGTGTCACTTTTGTGCTCCAGCCTGGTGCTCACTCAGCTTTAGGAAGGAAATGGCTGATTCCCAGCAGAGACAGTCACTTCCATATTTAGGACCTCAAGCCATTGTTAGAGTAGACAAGCTGGCTGCCAGTTGTTCCCCACCCAAACTCACTGCCCATCCAGCAAGTTGCACTCAGTGACAGCATCCTCTCACGCTGCAGTCCGCTGGTTCAGCACAGCCGGGTTTTGCACCCTCTGCTGGCCACATTTCATCTAGAAGAGGGGTTCTATAATCCAAACCAGGGAAATGTTGTTTTTTTTACCTAGACATTAGTGGGAAATTCTTTAAAAAATGGTTTAAATAATGGTATAAAAACCTCTCAGATCAATTTCTTGTTTTTCAAAAAATGAGAAGGAGACCATTTAGTTTATCTTGTTCTTCGTCCACAGACACTGAGCAGACAGAGTCCTTCACAGAAACAAGCAACAGATCTCCAGAGACCACAAATCTGTCAACTGAACCACTTACCTCCACCCTCGTAAGTACCACAGAGGCCAGTAGTAGCAGCAGTAGCAGCAGCAGCAGCAGCATTAGCGACTGGAAGGACTTTGCTAACACAAAGCAGATGCCAGGCATCTCCTATGCCGTGTCCCGGGAGGCCAGGCGGTCTACGGAGCGTGAGACCCTGTCCCGGGACAGCCTTGACACCACGCTGGGGCTGGGGGACGCCACTGCTCCGGGGTCCCAGACCGCCACCCTGGGGGACGCCACAGCTCCGGG